GGCTGAAAGCCCTTGGTCTGCTGGCTGCTCTGCCACTGCCTTTAGTGCCCAGAAACAGCTGGTGAGGCTCAGGGACGAGGGGGGCACAAGGGCTCAGGCAGGATGGGTGACCTCTCCCCTGGGTAACCACAACCCGAGAGGCAAGTGGTGCCTGGGGGGGATCTCTGTGCAGCAGGAGCTGCCGCCTTCTCGCCTGGTCTTAGGCCAGGGAAGCCCTCAGAAACTTCCTCCCGTTTCCTCTCACTGAGGCTCAGACAGGAACTGCAGGGTGTCCAAAGCTGCAGGCTGCTCTCCAGCTTGGGCAAAAGGAGCCAAAACAAAGGAGGGTTTATTTTCATAACCAAACATCCAGCCCTGTCCCATCCCTTCGAGGCGGAGAGGTCCCCTCTAATTTCATCACTGGACAGGTCCCCTCTAATTTCATCACTGCAGCAGTCAGATGCTTATGAGTCAGGGCCTGACTGAAGCTCCCTGACCGTGCCTGTTTCCCCACCCAGCAGACATCCAGGCGGAGATGGTTGCAGAGGCCGTGCTGCCCACGCTGTGCTCGCTGCTGGCATCGCGCAGCCAGGACGTGCGTCGCGCATCGGTCGCGCTGCTCTGGAGGCTGTCCCAGCACCCGCACAACCAGGTGGGAGGGCACGGGGCAGCTCTGGCCCCGCCGGGGCTGGCAGGGCGCCGGGGGAAGCTGAGGATGAAATGCACCTGGAGAAGGAGCCAGGGCTGCCCAGCCCCTCTTCCCCCACATGAAGGCGGGAGGGTCTCTGCGCTGCGGCTTCTGATCCCGGAGCTGATCCCGTTCCCTGCCCTGGGACCCGGGAGAGGGCAGAGTGGGAGGGGGTGGGTGTCTGAAATGCACTCCCTGCAGCTCCCCACGGCCCCTCATCCCCCAGGCACAGGTCCCAGGTGGGTGCAGCGAGGGGCCGGGCACCTGCAGCACCACGAGGAGCTGCAGCCGCAGAGGCAGCTGAGGAAGGAGCTCCTGGGCTGCAGAGCTTCCCCACACCCTGAAACAGCTGCTCAGGCTGCACCTCGAGTGCATCAGTGCCAAGTAACGGGCTAAACCACTTCCCTAGATGGACAGGGATTCAAGAGTACATTTACAGAAATTCAACAGCTTTTGAATTAGAATCTAGACAGCGAGGGGGGTTAATTCCCAGTTCTTCCCTGCGTCTCCTCAGGCCCTTAGTTCCAGCATGGTTCTTTTGCTCAGCCACCCTTAGCAGTGCATCACTGGGCAAGTACATGAAGAAGTCTGGCTAGAAACTACAGCAGGAGGCTGTACAGCAAAGCATCACCCTCGGGGGTTTATTCTCCAGTGAGAAGAATCTGCAGCTCAGAATTTGTTTTAGAGAGCAAACAGGGCTGTCCCTGCCTGCTGCGTGCAGAGCCCTGGGCTCTGAGAGGAGCCTGACCTCCCTCCTGGCTCATCTCCTGCCTCCCAGCTCCATGCCTCTCCTGGCCTGCTTTGCAAACTGTTTCAAGGCTGCTTTCCTTAACCCAGGCTGAGTTCTCAGTGAATGAAAGAGGGACTTCTCCATGGGAACAGCTGTTGGGAAACAAGCTTCTGAACAAAGCTAACCCTTACAACTCAGTGAAATGATGCTTGAATTATTACTACCCAGGACACAATAGGGCAGACTTCATCTGCCCTTTTGTTACCATGAAGCAAACCCCTGGGACTGCTTCACAGGAGCTGCTCTCCCTGCTTAATCCCCTTGCCAGGTTGCTGACAGCAATTCCCAGCAACTGCTGGAAAACTTCCCTTGTGCAGGGGGAATTTTAGTCTGTTCGCCCAAGGACATCATGACCCTGAAACACTAAAGAAAGAGTCAGGCTTTGTGAGAAAACAGTCTTTTAAATCAGATGCTTTTGAGCAAGGACCTGGAAGTCAGGGTGGCAGTGGTCTGCAGTGGAGCAGTGGCTGCTCCAGATGATGCTGCTGACTTTCCACTCCAGATACAAAACAATTTTGCCTTCCCACCTTGCCTGGAAAACGGGATAAACCTCGTCTTGTCAAGAAACCCCTGGATAAGGGGTGGGAGTGCAGCATTGCCATTGCAAGCACAGTTGCTGCTGGAATGCTTTGCCTTTGGTTGGTTAGTTGGTTTTTTAAATGCTGTGAGAAGTTAGATCAATGTCCATCTGAACCACCCAGGACATTCTTACTCAGAATTTTCTCGTGATTCTCTCATGCTGTGCAGGATTGAGCCAGGAACCAAAATCTGGATCCCAGCCACAGACCAGCCAAAAAAGAGGCTCAGCAGAATTTAGAGGACTGTCACTTGCTAATGGAGGTCCTAAATAAACAGAAAAGCTTGGCAGGGAAGTCTTTATGTATGAGAAAATTTATTTACAGTCTGTGAACAATTTCCTCCTCTCAGGCTGCAGCAAATCAAATTTGGGTTCCGTAGCTGATGGGATTACATAGACAAGAGGATGCTCAGGACAAAAGCACAGGAAACAGTCATTAATTACAATATAATAGGATTATCTACAATTACATTATTTCAGCCTTTGAAGAGGAGAAAAACTAAACTTAGAGAAACTGTACAGCCATACCTGCATGTAAGATTCTGTAAATGCCCCAAGCTCAGCCATAGCACTGCCCTGTCCATTATTACCATGTTTTATTTTAGGATTGCTGGTTGTCACAGTGCTTAAAAATGAACTTAAGTGATAAATGCCAGCTAAGATTAAAAGAAAATATACTTTTGTAATTTAAGTGAGAGGAAGATGCAAGTTAAACTAATTTTAAAAGACATCTAGTGATCCTGACTTCTTGCAGGGTTCAGAACCACAGGATTTTTTTCAACTGTGTATAAGGCTGATGATTTGGTTTAGGTTGAACACTCACTGATGTGTCTCAGTTTCTAAGTAACACAAATAATATAGTTCATTACCTACAAACATAAGAACTGCATTAGGAATGTGAATTCCTAAGGGAAAG